CCAGGACCGTTTGACAGAAGGCTGATCCATGACACTAAGGAATACTGGGTTTGATTCTGGAATTGAAGTGAAAGCTACATATTCTAATTCTCAGAGGATACAATGCAGATTTGTAATCGAACTGTAAACTGTGTTTTACTTACTGAGAAATGAAGGTAATTTCCAGTAGTGGAAATGAGCAATTGCAATTTTTAACTACTATATAATTTCCAATATGATTCACAAAACAGGAAAATAGAACAAATGTATATTTATAACTGGGACAAAAATAGCATTAGTTTGTAAAGTGGAATGTGCTATTATTTGACACCTTATTAGGCATTTGCTGAGATATTTTAGTTAGTATACTTTTTTAAAGAAAGGGCACATTGCTATTTCTATTATATTAGTAATACAAACATGTTGACAGCATAACATGTATGTTATATATGCATTTCAATCCAGAGAGACTACTTTTTGTATTAAATGTTTTCTTGGGGCCTGTGCTTAGGTAGTACGTATATAAGTTATCAGGAGTGATGCTGAGTAGTTTTTACAGCATGAGTGAGCCGCTGAAGAAGAGCACAAATCCATGCCCCATTGGTTGAAGTCATTGTTAAATAATTTTGAAATCTCATTTTCCATGCTGCATCTTTTTTTCTTTTTGTAAAAGTAATGAAATTCATGTCCAATTAAAACACTAGACAAATTTCAAGTTGCTTCAGTTTTAGGTCAGGTACCATATATGCATGAAACTATTTCCACAGTTTCAACAAAATAATTTACTCCAGTGCTTCCAAATTTTGTATTTTGTATGGAATTATGTAATTTCTTCTGTCAAGTTATGGCTGTCAGCATTTTGATGTGGAAAATGGTGAGATGTGTATCACTTGCTTTGCTGTCCTGAGTTTTCTAAACATTTGTAAGTCTTAAATGCATTCTTGATGTCATGAGCTCACTGTTTCTTATGTAAGTCTTCAGTGGTGTCTGATTTTTTTCATGGCTATAAATGCCCTCTTTCCATGCTCACACAATCTTAAATCTTTATTTAGAGATATGGAAATAATTGTGAAGAAAATATTTTGATAATAATACTTTTTTTAAGAAGTTATGAATAAGCAAATGCTTTTTGTTTGCGATAAAGAAGCAGTTTTTCAGAATATATTGCTTTGCCTTTACCTTTCTTAGATGCTTTCAAAGAACATTTTTATATACAATATACTGTTAAGCCAGCTCATATTTGTACCCAGTGAAAGCCTGTCTATTTGCAAATAATATATTTTGCCTTAATTGGCTTACTCTGTAAATCACTTGAATAAATGTTTTTTTCCTAGAGGATGCTATCTATTTTAAAGGTTTATTTTTTAATACAGCTGATGAACATCTGTTTATTTAAATTATATTTGCATTTTCAACTCACAAATTTGGCACATACTTAAATGCCTGTGTTGTCTGAAAAAAAACCCAAAACAAACAGAACCTGGTGCTTGAGGTCTCTCGCTGGGAGCACTTCTTCATATCGTAAACTAAAAGGATGATACAGGGACTTCTGTTTGTCATTGTTCAGTAAAGGCTTGTATTGTAATTTCAGTTTGCAGTGTATGGTATGTTGGATGCTGCCTTTTTATCCTGTGCTTACAGCATCCTCCATGATGCAAAGGAAGAGGACATGAAATCACCAGTAGGTGTAGGTCCCCTGGCATAAAACTGAAGAGGAATTTCCATTTTCTTTCTTGTTTTCGTGGCCTTGGCCTTCATTGTTTTTCAGAGGTGGTAACAGTGGAGGTAGAAGGCAGCTTCTCGTTTTGCAGCACCTGGTTTATTCTGGTGACATTCGCCCAGCATTCCAGCTATCTTACGAGGCTGCTAATGTCCCATACTCCAAGGCTGCCCTGGCCTGCCTTAGAGAATATTTAGTCTCTCTTCTCCTGTAGAAATTTGCTTTCTTTATGCCACTGCCCGGCCTTCTCTCTGTGTACTTTCTCCTCATGGTTGGGTGCTGGGATATGATGTGATCAAGTGAAACTGTCTTTCAGAGATTCGAAATCTCTGGCTCGATGAAGGTCTTTTGATGTAGTTCAGCTGCTCATCCAAGAATTAAAATAGCTCAACTTGGTAACTCTCAGTTAGTTCCCTCCCTTTACTGAGTATTGTATGTTTATGTATAAAAAAGTAACATCCTCATGTATAAGCCAGGAGCTCAGCTTCTTCCCTGAGAGGCCAGGGAGAGGAAAAATGACTGCAATATGCTCTGGAAAGCTAATATAATTTGAAATTACTTCCTATCTGAGTGAAGTCCTTTTTCAGGGTCTGAGTTGCAGTTGGCATGGATGAATTCTGGAGCAAGTTAAAATAACATCCAGCTTTTTACCATCTGCTGGGTCATGTGGGCAATAATAGGAGAGGAACCTCAACAGGTAGGACACTGACATCCTGTGTTAAATTTATATTGAAATCAACTTAGAAAAGCAGGTATCAGAACACCTGGAGAAAAGAAGACTGAGAGGGGATATTACTAATGCTTATAAATATCTAAAAGGTAGATCTCTAGAGGAAGGGGCCAGACTCTTCTCAGTGGTGCCCAGTGACAGGACAAGGGACAATGGGCACAAACTGGAACACAGGAGGTTCTATCTGAACATGAGGAAAAACTTCTTCAGTTTGAGGGTGACCGAGCACTGGAACAGGCTGCCCAGAGAGGCTGTGGAGTCTCCTCTGGAGATACTCAAAACCCGCCTGGATGCAATCCTGTGCAACCTGCTCTAGCAGGGGGGTTGGACTAGATGATCTTTACAGGTCCCTTCCAACCCCTACCAATCTGTGAATCTGTGAATACATTTGGCCACATAAAGAAAATTCTCAACAGCTAGTCATCACTGGATGCAGCTGCAGAAGCCATTTCTGCTACTTTGTTAGTATAGGATAAGTTGCTTAGTATAGTATAGGATAAGTTTGCTCAAATACAAGTGTCAAACAAAAGATCAGGAAAGCTTTCACATTTGAAGATGGTGGACATCAAGGATTGCTGAAAATGGTTCTGGAAATACGTCCAGAAGGGAGGGAGACCAGCTATATTAATTGCTGTGTTTTATTTCCGCATTTGAAATTGCTGTTTTAGTTGTTTACTGTATCTTTTGTAGCAAGCAGTAGTGAAAGCAGTTTTTCCATGATCATGGACTTGTTCAGTACTCTTATGATGTTTTGGAGGTACTTGCCTCAGCAAGGAAATACACATTGATAAATGACATTGTAAAACGGATATAATTTGGCCTGACCCACTTGTATTGTAGCTCCTGCCTCACTGCAGTCAAATGTAAAAGCACTATAATCAGCCAGGAGGAGGAGGCCAGGCTGCGAAAGATGGTCTGCATCTGTCGGTAAGCAAAAATGTAGTAATAACTGCATGCTCTGCTATGGCGTTGGTGGTATTGGTTGTTTTTGCTGCACATCTTTATAATGATACTGTCATTTCATTCATTGCCAGCATGTGGTCAGTTTGGTTTCTTGGGATGGGAATGTGACAGAAGATTGCACCTGTGCTTCTCAGCACTGCCTAATCACTATTTCATGACAAAGATATCCTGATTAAAACCCTTCCCCTGCCTGTGTGCATGCCAAAATGTGTAATTGTCCATTATACTACCATTTTTTAAAGAGCATTTCAGATAAATGTGGCCAAATTCTTCCAGTCTGCATTAAATTGAAGCAGGTCTACACGATCTTTAAACTGAGGCACTGTCTTTAAAATCTTGGAGATAGCTCATCAGCTCTGCTATTGCCTGGTACCCTAAGCAGGCACACTTGCTGCTTTTGTGCAGCCCCTCTCATGCTAAGTGTTCAGATGCGCTGCTCTGCACACGTTAAGGTAGTGACTCAATGGCTGGATTTTAGTTGTTGTTAGGGGAATTAGTATTTAGCAGAGCTGTGATAAATCTAAGTTGAACTTAAGAAGACCTGTATAGGATAATAAGAGATGGATCAGTCTTCAGAAAAATTTTATATATTTTATATAAGATTTTATATGTAGGAAGAATATTGACTTTTTATTCTGAAGCTGAAAAATAGTTTCAGGACTTAACAAAGTTGTTCAAAGAAATGAGAGCTAGCACCTGCTGGCAAGTATCGAAGCCTCTGAAATTCCTTCATTAAGTGATGCCAGCTCTAAGAGTCAGTCTAAGAATTTTTGTTTCTTTCTGTAAGTGATGTTTTAGTAGATCAGAGAGAAGCTAAAGATATTTTTCCAGCTTTTTCATTCTAATTGGTTTTCTTGAAGGGGAAGAAACCTGCTATGTCAACAGCCATCCTGTTAAAAAGATATTCTGTGTCACACAGACTTTCTGTGACAAGTTACTCGTAGTGGCAACTATTGAACTTTCCCATTTGTAGTAGGACATTTGGGTAGTTTTTATTATCAATGAGCTTAGGAAATTCTGATATTTTTTTTAAAAGTATTTTTAAATAAATGTACTGTGCCCATTTGGTCCAACTTCACAAGAAGTAACTCTCCACAAGAGGATAATATTTAAAGAAACTAAGCAGAAAATGTAAAAGGATGGTTCAGCTAAGGAATATTCCCACAAATATTCCCATGCAGTGATGAGGCTGAAATCTTCAGTGGGCTGAGAGGTTCCCAGCAGCAGAATGAATGAATTGTGAAAGCTGGGCCCGACTCTGTGACTAGGAAGCAGGGAGACCAAAACTGAGAAAGAGAATTTCTCAGAGGCTTGCTGCAAGCACCTGGTTTGCCTGCCTGTCTGGTTCAGAAATGAGTGTTTAGGAGAGAGTGAAATATTTAGACTTAGTTTTATCTCTTTTTCCCAATATTCTGGTCCAATAGTTAGTATATCCATTCTGTAAAAAAAAAAACAAAACAAACAAAAAAAAAACCCAAACCAAACCCCCAAAAAACTCCATTATTTTGGAAAATCCTGTAGTTTGCTTAAAAGTTATCCAACAGAGGTCCAAAGTGAAAGCTTTGCAAA